TCTGTTTCAAGAAGCTGAGCAACAGTTCTGAAATTGTAGGCATAAATATTAGATTTCACATTTTAAAATACATATGAAAAATAATACTGTATGCCTCTAAGTATCGTACTGTAGTATGTATACCAATTACAGCCTTACTTTTTATCAAAGTTTATTTTCATAATATAGACCTTCAACAGCGAGATGCACCCAGACCCAAGTGAAACTTTTCATGACATTTAATAATGTTGAAAACAGGAATTAAGAAGAAAAATGAATCAGATAAAAAGTTGAAGTTGTGTGGGTGACAAGTGAGAAAAAAAGTAAATAGTACAATTGGAATAGGCATAAGATCTCAAAGTCGTACAACAATATAAATGTGGGAATCTTAGCAACAGGAAATAAATTTTAAAAAAATTTTTTTATTTAAAAATAATTTTAATTTTACTAAAAATCATTTGTCCCCAATTAGTGAATAATCTTTATCGTGGCTGTTTGACCAAAAAAATCTATACAACTTTTGTTACGATTCAACCAGACTGTTTAATTTAAATGAAGTTTTCTTTAAACTTTACAAAACAACTTAACTTACTTTTCATTCTGTTGCTTCAGCGATTCATTCAGTCTTTTAAGGGTCTCAAGTTGTTTATTCAGTGAATTACACATTCCTTGCAGATTGTTATATTGCTTTTCAATAGTTTCGTGCCTAAAATGTTCAAATTAGTACTATTAAAAGGAATGAATGCTATGCTGTTTTCATAATGTAATATTTGATAACATATATTAGAATGTGGGGTCCTTGGTGCTCTCTGAGTTTGGTGGTTTTCTTGCAAATGTTTCATTACCAACTAGATAATATCATCAGTGCAATGAAACCTTTAGCACTTTAAATTCAACTTTCAGCACTGAAACATATTCCATGAGGAATTCTGATAAGAATACACATTTTTAAAAAAATATTTCTCACCAATTAATTATTTTCACCAATTAATCAACAAATTATTAATTTTCTATGCAACTTTCTGTGGAATATAAGTATGATTTTTGAACAATTAGAAGCAATAAAAAATAAACTTATTTTCTAATAATAAAAGAGACAACAGAACTTGATCTATCAACAAGAAATAAGTAACATCTGCAGTTAATTTTTACTGATACTTTTATTTATAGGAATTCTGTTTTAAGATCTACAAATATTCACCAAGATACTTCCAACTTCCAAACAATGTTGTGAACTCTTAAGATGTTCTTTACATTGCTTCAATCAGGCATTTTCTCTCTTAGAGTTTTGTTCGTTCTTTGGGTTTTTTTATTTTGGGGCAGAGGTTTTTGCAAACCTTGCAGTTTCTGTTGCTTCTATTTCTATCACTTTGCCTTACCTATTAGAGGATATGATAAAAAAGTTCCCATAGCTAAGCAACAGTAGAAAAAATAACTGATAAGATTAAATACTAAGACCTAATTTTGCAGTTTGCTAGCCAAACTTGATTGTACTTTTCATAAATAAGTAATCTGATCTTATGAGATAACTTTCTTTCTCATACCTATGTACAGTAGTGGCCAAAATTGTGGAAACCTTTCGGGAAAAGTGTACATTTGAGGTTTGATGACTAATAACATCACTCGTTCTGGAGTAGTACCATAAAATTATATATCAATGGAAAGTTAATTTAATCAAGAATGTAATGCAACAAAATTTGTTCAATTATCTGTATTGTATGAAAAGTTATAGCCAAATAACCAGAAAAAGGAAGCACAACTTGCTTAGGTTGATATCAGGTAGTTTTCCTTCATCTGATTGTAGCCAATGAGCATGAGTGTTTAGAGAGCCAATCAGGTGTTCTCTTGTTTTGGCAATGAGCCAATCAGATCACAGTAGGATTCAGTTATTGATGTCACGTATTGAAGCTGAGAAGACGACATTTGTCAGTGTGTTATGTGATCGCTATCAAGTTGGTTGGGTTTTTTTGTGTTCTTTCATTTAATGAGCTTGTAAAACGTAATAAAATTAAAGTAATGGTGCAAAGAGTTGACTGGTCGCCCAGAAAGCGAAGGTTACAATTATAAAGAAATTAGAAGAAAAATTGGTGGAAACTTAACCAAAGGTGGCATTTCTAAGTTTTTGAAGAGGTATAAGGAGACCTAGTCACTACAAAACCACACTCGTAAAGGCAGGAAAAGGTGCACAACAGCAAGTGATGACAGAAGAATTAAGAGACTGTGCCTACATGACAGAAGAAAATCATCTGGGCGTATACAAGATGAAATGGCACAATGCAATATGAAGTTGAGTGCAAGGACTGTTCGGCGCAACTACAGGAATTTGGCCTAAAATCTAGAATTCCACGAAAAAAGCCAGTTTTATCTCTCAAACAAAGGTTGAAAAGACTAAACTGGGCTAAAACCCATGTTACCTGGACAGAGGAACAATGGGGCAGTGTTATTTGGAGTGATGAGACCAAGATCTCCCTGTTTGGTAGTGATGGCATAAAATATGTAAGGAAAAGAATCGGAGAAGATTTGCATCCTGATTGCATTACATGTACCGTGAAACACCCAGTCAGTGTTATGATCTGGGGTTATATGACATCAAGCGGTGTGGGCAGAATTTGTGTGATTAAAGGGAATATAAATCACCAAAAATACATTAATGAAATACTTGAGCCCAAACTGAAACCTTCCACACATTATCTTTTCTAAGACAATGAAGCATTTATATTTCAACAGGATTCAGCTCCATGTCATGTTGCTGCTGTGTGCAAAAAGTGGTTTCAAGATAATCATATTCCACTGCTGGAATGGCCTGGGAATAGCCCGGACCTTAACCCAATTGAAAATGTATGGAGCCGAATAAAAAAACGTGTTAGTCAGAAGCGACCCAGCAATAAAACCGAGTTATCATTCAATCTTGGTTTCACATTATAACAGCTGCAGAACTAAAGGACTTGGTTCACTCCATGGGAAGACGTTGTAAGGCTGTAATTCATGCTAAAGGTTACCAACTAAGTATTAACTGACATGGTGGTAATTTTTGTATATCTCATTTTTTTCTATGGTGATAATTTTTGTATATCTCATTTTTTCTACATGTTTCACTTTTCCTCTTTATAACTGCTATTTAATAGCAAATCCTTCATAAAAGTTATTGCATTACATTCTTGATTAAATTATCTTTGCAATGATATATACGGTAATTTTATGGTACTACTCAAAACAAGTGGTGTTATTAGCCATTAAACCTCAGATGTATACTTTTCCCAAAAGGTTTCCACAATTTTGGCCACTACTGTAGAATAAGATTAACAAAGGGTTCAATTTAACTGTTGTCTATGGAGATTCTCAGTCATCCAGATCATGGTTGTCCCAAAGATGCTTTTTCTAGAGACAATTAGACTTTCTTGTGTGTGTTTTTTTTTTTAAGACATTTCGCTTCTCATCCAAGCTTTTTCAGCTCTGAAAGATCCTCAGGAGGATCTTCAGCCAACACAACATATGTGCACACTTTAAACCCAAGAATACACTAAGCAGAAGCTTGTCCACCCCAAGGATAAAACACCCAGACACAAATTAAGCAACATGGTATATGCAGTACAATGCAGTGAGACATGTGCAGATCTGTTACATTGGGGAAATCACTTCATAAACACAATGTAGGAGAAAAAACACATCAAGACAAAATTCAGCAGTCCATCTACATTTAAAAGACAAAGGCCACTTTTTTGAGGACAGGAAAGTCCACATTTTGGACAGAGAGGATCGCTGGTTTGAAAAAGGGGTCAAAGAGGCCATCTATGTCAAAATCGAACAGCCCTCTCTCAAGAGGAGGAGGGATACAACATCATCTATCTCCAATCTCCAGTCCTTTCAGCAGTTCCAAGAAGGCTCCATACACATTTGCACCACTCAAGGGACCTTGAAAACACAGATAAACTTCCAAGTGGCCTCAACGACTCTCTAAAAGAATGAAAATGACCAGCTGTCTGCAAGGAATATAAATCCTTCCATTCCCCACCGCCTCTAGGAAAAGCACCTTTGGGACAATTTAGCTGTTGGCTTCTGAAAACTTCCAATTTGTCCAAGTTTTGTATTAATGCCTTATTTAAAAGCTCAGCATTTACATTTAAAATATTTGAGAAATGTATATGTCTTTACTATCTAAATTTTGCAATATCTGATAAATTTCAACCAACGCTATTTGAAGAGTAAATTTCTTTTCTGCGCAACTTTTTTCAGCCTATGCAGTAAAAAGAAGGATATTACCCAACTTTATTCAGCTAACATCCATCGCTCTGAAGAATTGTTGGCACTTACAGGTAGTACTAGACATATTAGGGCAATTGGAATCAGGATTGCCATCACTAAGAAGATGTGATCATAAAGTGCAAACTACTTTGCATAGAAATGACAATAAAAGTAATCCTGGCTGCCATCATTAAATGAATATCAAAGTCGTTAGATGAGGCAACTTCATGCCAACTTTCCTTTAATTATAGAGCTACAAATTCTATTTGTCAATAACAATAAAATCTCCGTATTCATCTTTTTTGATGATATAAACAATTATATATAAACAATTATATAATCTGAGTGCTAACTTTTTCTTTTTTCTTTTGCTTTCCATGGAGAAATGCTTAGCAGGATTGTATCTTACTTTTGAAGCAGCTCAATGGAAGATCTTTTCAGTATCTCATATTCTTCTGCTATTGTTTGCAGTTTCCGATTATGCTGAAATAATTGTTCAATATCATTTTGTGCCCGTTCAGATTCTGTCTGCTGTGCTTTCAATAGAGATTCCAGATCTTCATTTTTCCTTTCTGTATCCTTCAGTATTGAGGCAAGCGTCCTAGCCTTTTGGAATTTTGCAAAATGACAGTTCCATTGTGTGAATGAAATGTTAGGACACTAGACCAATGAACCATACTAATACTAAAGCAACACTTAAGGCTTTTAAATTTTAAGACAGCAAACTAGCCTTTAAAGCATAATTTGGAGATATACAAATATCTACGATCATAAAAGGACAATGTTTTTATTCCAAGTAAGTGAAACCCTAATCTAAAGTTTATTTTCAAATACAAAACAAGGCAGATTATATGAGCAATTTTGTACTGACAGATGTACATACATAATAAATGAATCCTTATATGATAATTCTGCTTTACCCACCTCAGATTCAGCTTGAGCTCTCTGGCAACGATACTGGGCAATAAGTCTATCAGCTTGAGAAAGAGCTAATGCCTTTGCTTCCAAAAGGTCCTGCAACCTTGTTTCCTTAGACTAAAAAGAAAATTATTGCAAAATGAACTGCACATTCAGAGCATGCACATGAAAAAAAAATCTGTTAGATATACTCACTGCCAATGCAGACAATTTCTGTTCATATACTTCCATTATTTCAGATACCCTGATGTCTGTGACTGATTCCTTCATCTGTTGGAAATGTTCATATTATAAGCTAAAGCAATATGTAAATCTTAATTCAAAATTGTACCTATATGGACAAATAAAAAACTTGACATGAGGAATGACTACACAAGTTCAATTGACAAAGTGACATCATACAAGCCTAGGTATTAATGATATGAATATAATTATTGAAATATTGCAAAATAAATTTTTCTGTACCCCTATCACTAAGTTTATAAAAACAGCAAATGAATATTCATTAATTTCTATATTAATGGATTCTATAGCACATCGATTATATGGCGCTGTATATAATTATATATTATCTTACAAAATATATTGATTATATGTATAGAATCATATATATTGTCTTACAAAATCAATTTACTTCATTTCTTTCATTCAAATATTTAGTGGAGTTTGTCCAAATTTCTGGGTACTGCAGATCCAAGTCCCATACTGAGCTACACTATACTGCGGTTTAATATATCAAGACAAAAATGTTTTCATGTTTGTGTTAAAAGCACTAACCTCCAAGCCAGATTGGAGTTTGTGAATCAGGTCCTGAATTTTGAAAGTTGCAGCATCACCATCATTGGGATGGCAAACATTAGAGGATTTTACTGAATTTACATAAGTCATGGATGCTTGCAGGTGACTTCTTTTAGAGACATGCTCAGATTCCTGTTGTCTGTAAGCATTATTGGCTGCAATACTCTCACCAAGCCTAATAAAAGCATTCACAAAAGGCAATATTAGTGGGAAAGTGTCTGTTTTATAGAATAAGCTCAAAATGTGAAATACTGGCAGTGTCTCAAGGTAGATTTTCAAAAATATTTTTTTATGAAAGACAGTATTTTTTAAAGAAACAATAGGAAACTTACACTATGGCAGGAAAATCTGGCAACGGGGCTGCTTCAAATAATATTCTAAGCCCTGCTTGAACTTGTGCCCTGTGGTCTGATGTTAAAGCCAAAGCCAAAGGGGTAACCAAGCGTTGGTCCTAGATACAGAGCACTTGTTAGTTAAACAAACCTTTTTTTTTCCTTTCAAAACAGCCAGCAGTGGTTTAAACAGGTTTTTGCACAAACAGTACAAGTGATAGATATTTTAGCATCACCTTCCTTTCAGCCTCTTTTCATCTGCCCAGGTGATATTTATGTTTTTAAAGGCTATGGAGGTTGGTTTGATAAGTCTAATAGTCACTGTTAGAAAATGATCAGAATGACATGCATCATTTTTAGAATGATTTAACATAAATATTTAAAATTTTGTACCTGAAGAACTTTGTAAAAACTGACTTCCATGTTAGGAACCAGCTGCTTAAGCTTACTCATCAGATCCAGTGTTTTTAAGATTAGATCAGCAGCAAGTTTGCTAAAAATGTCAAGAAAGCATTTTATAATGAATAAACATTCAAAATTAAAATAATTACTTTTACAACTCTACGAAACCTATAATCAAGGGGAATGTAAAATTAAATTAAGAGAGCAAGTAATGGCAGAAGGATATAGTTGTCAATGGTTTTCCACGTACAGGTATCAAGAGGGTTAAAAAAATAAAAAGACATGGTTTGGAGCAAAGTAAGGTAGAATTTGAAGTACCATTGTGTGTAGTGATGATGAACATGTAATAGCTAAAATGTTTAAGCTTTTGTGGAAATTTCAAACAGGAAAAACAGGCTAAAGATTAAAGTGGGCTAAACATTTTGGTTATAATATACAGATGGATCATTGGGAAAATATGTAACTGAAAGGTTTTAAATTCTGCCACTTTCAGTTGGACTCATCTTTTGGAAGTGAGGGAAAAAGCTAATCTTGAATGGAACCTTCATTTGCCTTGTTCATATATTACACCTGAACAGGGTACAGCAACATTTCTATTCCTATGCTATTCCCACATACTATTCCTATGCTGAGCAGAAAAATCAGAAGCAAGGTTAGATTTGCGTAACCTTTGATAGAGTTCCTGATTTTTCCAAGAGTTCATTCACTTTATGTTTAAATGAATATACACTCTCACTTCTATCTAGACTTTCTTTTGAATAATGAGGTGGAACTGACACACATAACTCCATGGTTCATTGTTTAGGAATTCCTCTAAACTTTGAAGTATAAAGTGTTATGCTTATAATAAGAGCCTACTATGATTCAATAGTACTCTGAAAAACTTTGTGTTTTTAACTTGATGAAAAAAGAATGGCAAAGTTAAAAAACAGTAATTGTTCAATTATTGCAACCACATACTTATACATTAAATTCCATCTAAAACAGAAGCACAGGCTATGAATTTTAGGGAGACTTTGTTAGCTATAAAGGCTTCACAAAAATATAATAGGGACTAGTCCCTGCAAAATTGCAATTTATCCTTTTGAAATACAAAGGTATGGGTTGGAAAAAAATAAAAATTGATAAAAACCCTAGCTTGTGCTTACCTCAATTCACAGTCCTTAAATTTTGTCCCAAAACTAAAATCAATTCCACTAGAAGTAAATTGGTGTTCTATTAAAGTAGTACACTTGCTAGCTGTTAAAACTTTAGTGACATGCATTTTCAGCATATCATCTGCACAAAGAGGTACATTCTGTTAAGGACTTTAAATGAATACTGTGTATTCCTCACATTCTGACTGCTTTGTTTAACAACCTTTGAAAGTTATGATGGTTGGAGAAAAAGAAAGCAGGAATTAACATCAGACAAACAATCCAAAGACAATACCCTAATCAAGAAACTACCAAGGAGGAAAATTACATTTCTACCAATACTGGAAGCTTTTATATTAACAGAGAGCAAACAGGAAGCAAACTCCACACCTAGTTGGGTAATAAATCATCTGCAAGCAAACAACAAAACTCAGAAACATCAAGGGTTCCACAGTTCAACCATGAGCTACCTATATTCTCTTCTGTTTAGGAAAACAAAGCAGCTTTGCAAACAATCCTCACATTGTAGCATCCTACAGTCACATGAGTGCTATTTGCATACTTTACAACCAGCTTCAAACAAACAGAATTTATGGAGAACATGGAAGCGAAATTGCAAATTGCAGTTACATGATATCTTTCTTAATGACTGTAGGAATTTGCTTAATGTCAAAAGCAGATGTGAAGTTGTAAGTTCCCTGATTTTTCACTTAGACATCATGGCACTTAGTGACAAGTTGCTGGTCCCAATTGGGATCAGTAAACGAAGATTGGCTGTAAGTAAAACTCCCTAGTGATGCAAAATGAAAGTCTAAACAGGAAAATATATCTAATTCAAAGTAACGTTAAAAACTTGGGAATCTCCAAGCAATGCCCACAATAACTGTCACATGAAGAATGTTCTTCTGTATTTTACCACAATTTCCAAAATAAGTCAAATAATAAATTATAATTTTATTATCGTCAGACTTTTCTTGATTTCTGTGGAATATTATAAATTCATAATGGCAAATATTTCTGCTGGATATATAAGGTGTCTTGCAACAAAAATCCAGATGTTGAAAGAATAAGCAACATCAAGAAATCTGTCAGATAGTTAAGTGCCAATTATTGATATATTAATGCAGAAAATGGATTTCCTATATAAAACACTAAGAAAAACGTTTAAACATTTTAAAAAATGTTTAAAAATGTTTAAAAAATCTGGATGAGTGACTCTATTTTGTCTTAAATCTTTTTCCTTTTTGCACTGTTATCTAATAGAAACGTTGTTTTTAAGCTTTATATAATTCAAATGTATTTATCTTATTTCAAATAAATGATTTTCTGACAATCTTCAATAAAAAAAAATTACAAGAAGGATATTTATCAAGATATCAATAGTCTTGATCATTCGTTCACATTTTTTCTTTGCCAACAGATCTTCCAGTATGTGATCAGGAAAATGAAGATGGTCAAGAAGAATGGGCAAAAGAAGATCCACAAAGCGCTCAGCAGTTGCATTATTGCCTGCATCAATAACATCCTATAACAGAAATATTATCAATTTAATGGCATTGAAACAATTGAATAATTATCCTATGTCACCAAACTCTGTGGAGTATAATTCATTATTTTTTAAAATGCAACCTAACCACAAAATTTTACATTAATTTGATTTGATCTTAATTTTACTAATTTTTGGTTTTTAAAAGGTTATAGTTTAGCTATATTAGCTTAAATAGACTAATTTTAACCACTGTTTTACAAAAATATCATTATTAATTGTTGATCTGATTTTCATAATCGCAATGTTGAGTATCTTTCCCTTTTTAAAAATATAATAATGAATTATTTTATTACAAGAACTTACAAAATTGTAGGTGACAGGTCCTTACTTAGAGGAGGAAAAAATATTTTTTAAATTTAAATTTTTTAAAATAAGAAAATTTGTAAGAACTTTAATTCTTGCCTAACTATTTTCAAATGTTCATTTATACAAATGTTTTACTACTTCAGAGGCCCCTAATAAGTACACACAGGTTAAGAAGTGCCTTTATATACTCTTCCTCTTATGTGATCAAATGCCAACAATGTCCTTCTGATTCTATGTAGAACAAACAGGACAAACTTTATATAAATGAATTAATGGACATAATTTTGACATCAGAACTTAAAAATAGGACAAAATAATAGTGTTTTAATCTCCCAGGACACTCTGTTGCAGACCATAAAGTGACTATCTTAAAAAAATGATACTGTACAAAGAGTACTCATATTTCAAAAGGTTTCAGCCAATCTTAAAAAGGGTT